CTTCTTCTTCTTCTTCTTCTTCTTCTTCTTCTTCTTCTTCTTCTTCTCCTTCTCCTTCTCCTTCTCCTTCTCCTTCTCCTTCTCCTCCTCCTCCTCCTCCTCCTCCTCCTCCTCCTCCTCCTCCTCCTCCTCCTCCTCCTCCTCCTCCTCCTCCTCCCTTCTTGCGCTGATGATGTTGCCTAAATTGAGTAAGGAAATGTGAAAACCACCAAGCTCAGAGACCACCAAGGACCCCTTATATCAACTCTGAGCTACAAATATTATCTGTGTTACAAATAGACTGCACATAAGTTGATTTCCCCCCCCCAAACTTGCATATTCAAAACAACAACAACAAAAAAAAAACCGCCACACAATGTATGCACAATACATTTTGATATAAAACTAGTGACTGAATGCATTGGAAGATACAAATCCTTTTGGCTGCCTGTAACTCGGACCCAAGAAATTCCCGACTAATTCAATTCCAGCACAAATTGAGTGCCGAACAGACAATGGGATTAAGAGAAGGAAGGAAGGAAGGAAGGGTAGAAACAATTAAAGAGCGTGCATGAAGGAGAGAGATAAACTGAAAGAAGACCAAATGTAATCAAAGAGGCAAAGAAAACCAATTCCATGCCTCACTTTTTAAATCCACGTCCCGATGTGTATGCAACAAATTGCACAGCTGTTTGCTCGGTTTTGACCACTTTCTTGGCAACTAAGATAATATCTGAAGGCAAACAAGGATTTGTCATTCCCTCATTGTGCAGAACCACACTGGACAAAGATACAGCGATAAGCTGAGGATTACAAACAGGCAGGAGGTATGGAAAATGAAGAGAGAAACGGGCAATAAAGCCAGGAAAGGATAAAATAATAGGATCACCAACAGTCATAATTCCATGGCTTAAAGAGATCCCAGTTTGAAAGATTGGATTTTGGAGGATTGGACCATGTTGGTATTGGGCTTTATTTTTATTTTTTTCTACAAAAGAACGATCTGAAAAATCCAAAGAGGATTTGAAAGAGCGATTGATTCCAGGCGGGCCTTGATTTATAACAGTTCATTAAGCAACCATTCAACATTACGATGGCACCGAAAAATGTGACTTATGGCCGTTTTTCACACAACCATTGCAAGCATCTCTGGGGTCACATGAACAAAATTTGGACACCGTGGCAAATGACTCCGATTTATGATGGTTGCAGCATCGCGGGAATCATGGGAACGTCTGACAAGCGAAATCAACCAGGTTCACCCAACAACCGTGGTGCCAATTTCCCAACTGCCATGATTCCCTTAATGAATGTGGACAGAGAGGGGATAGGCAAAAATCACTGAACAAATGTTCCACTTAGCAACTGAAATTTTGGGCTCAACTGTGGTTGTAAGTCAAGGACCAACTGTATATCGTGTTCAGTTTGGTGCCATGTATACACACCTTGTACACGGTTTCCATTGTTTTTTCTTGGGTTGGAAAATACAGGAGAAGGAAGTTTTCAAAGCAGGGATAGGTGGGGAAACGGTGGCCCTTTTATGACTTGTGGACTTCAACTCCCAGAATTCCTGAGCCAACATGCCTGGCTCAGGAATTCTGGGAGTTGAAGTCCACAAGTCATAAAATAGCAACAGCACTTAGATTTATATACCACTTCATAGTGCTTTACAGCCCACAGCGGTTTACAGAGTCAGCCTCCTGCCCCCAACAATCTGGGTCCTCACTTTACCCACCTCAGAAGGATGGAAGGCTGAGTCAACCTTGAGCCTGGTGGGATTTGAACTGGCAAATTGGAGGCAGCCAGCAGTCAGCAGAAGTAGCCTGCAGTACTGCACTCTAACCATTGCACCACCGAGACCTCTTATACATTTTTTTTTTTTCATATGTGGGGAATCTTGTCCGGAAGCCAGGAAGTACTGGACTAAAATAAGAAAATGGCTAGAGGAAATTATACAGTCAACAAATTGAGTTAAAACCCGAACTATTTCTACTAGGGATAATAAGAGGAAACTGCAGTTAGAAAATTCAATATATTATATTGCACATAATGACTGCAGGCAGAATTGCGTATGTGCAAAACTGGAAACAGAACAGCACGGCCTCTGAGGAAATGGTGATTAAAAAAGGTGTTAGATTGTGCGGAGATGGACAGGCTAATATTAGAATTAAAAGAAAGAGGGGAAACAGAATATTATTCGGTCTGGGACACATGGTATAAATGGTTAGAAAATAGAAGCAAAGACCTTTATATTTATAAAGGTAATTTAAGAGGTATATTAAACTTAATGGCAATGTATATAGTTAAAGGAAGAAAAAGGAATGTAATTGATATGTATATATGAGTATTATTGATGCGGGAGCGCTGCAAAGACTGTAAAAGAGATATAAAATGATGTAATATTTTTAATTAAAATATTTTTTTTTAAAAAAATAGGGGGCCATGGTTCCCCGCCCTGAGCATGGCTGGCTTAGGAATTCTGGGAGTTTAAGGAAGTCCACAAGTCACGAAACACCCATGCTTCTCCCCCTACTGTATCCCTGCTTTAAAGAAAGGAAAACTGGATAAGGAAGGGAGTGGTTTTCATTAGTTGACAGGCAGAGCTTTTGGTTTGAAGCCAGGAAAAAAAAACGCTATAAAGGTAAGGAGGTCTAGAGGTTTCAGGGCTATTTGAGCGTGAGAAGAAAGCTGGGTGGACTAGACACAGGAGAACATCAAAGATCTCCAGAAAGTTGGACCAATAAGGTATAAGCTCAGGTATACAGATTCACAATTTCACAGAATCAGGAAGGAATGTGATAACTTTCTTCAGCCAACTTGCTGTGGCAACTCACCACAGGAGAATTCGCCATGGTCCGCTTGCTGTACTATTTAGCAGTTCAATTTCATTATTTAAAATACCTAAAGTATGTTTTAATTTTTGCCACTCACATTTCCTTCTGTCCTTCCTTTTGCATCTTTAATGATTCCCTACCACCCTTTCTTTGATATTCATGTAACTCTTGTCCCATGGCAAGTTGGGCGTGGCAAATTGTCCCACAATGAGTTGGCCATGGCGAGCTGACCATGGTGAGTTGGCCACGGTGAACTGTCATAGACCCCAGTCAGGAAGCGAGGGAGAAGGGTAAATTAAAAAAAACCACAAACATCAAGTTCAATCCCCAAACCAGGTCAAGGTTGATGTCTCACCTGTGATGTGCTCACCTGATCTACAAGCCATGTCCACGTCTTTCTCGAAATCAGTCTGGAAGACAGAGAAAGCAAAGGGAAGAAGTGATCAGCAACAGGGAAAGGAGAAAGGAGCTATGAGATTGAAAAACTCAAGATTTGGATATTCCAGCTTTTTAACCCAACTGAAAAGCCAAGAGCAGCTATAACCAACCTCCTGGTCTTCCAAGAGAGTTGTTTGGAGGCGAGGCATCAAATAGACCACTGTGCAATAAAGGAGAATATAATATTTGTAGCTCAGGGTTGAATCGTGGGGTCCTTGGTGCTCTCTGAGCTTAGTAATTTTCTTGCAGATGTTTCATGACCCAAGTCAGTAATATCATCAGTGCAAGACTAACAACATCTTCTAGCACTGATGATGTTTCCTAATTGGGTCATGAAACATCTGCAAGAAAACAATCAAGTTCAGAGCAACAAGCACACCATAGTTCTCCTCCTCCTCCTCCTCCTCCTCCTCCTCCTCCTCCTCCTCCTCCTCTCCAGAACCTCCCTCCTTTCTAGCGCTAATGATGTTTCCTTGTTGGGCCATGAAACATCTGCAAGAAAACAACCAAGTTCAGAGAGCATCTAAGACCTTCCCTGACAGCTATGCTAAAATATCTTCATATTTGGGGTCCGGTTTCTTTTCCGGCTGGCTGGCGAAACCAGCCCCCCAAATGCCTCTGGGGCAGGTGTGTGAGAATGAAAGAAAGATCTGGCAATTGAGAAGGAAACTCTTGCGGGAGCCCGACAGAGATGCAACAAATATTAGGGTATGGCACCTTAGTGTGTTCATTGCACAGAGTGTAATGTAGCAGGCAAGAATCATCAGCATTCAGTGGCATCTCATGCTGGGTATTTTAATGCATATCTAATTTAGGCAGGTTGCACCCATAAAGAATATCAATGATCAGGACTTTTTCCTGAATGCCAACAAGGTGGCATTGTCAAGAAGAGAAGGGGAAATTACTCATTGTATATGTATTTATTTATTTATCAAATGTCTAGGCAGATTCTGAGTCACCCAGTCATGGTAGTCCCAAAGGCGCTTTTTTTTTTCCCAAGAGGCAGCTAGACTCTCTGGTTGTTCTTTGAAGATGTTTTGCTTCTCACCCAAGAAGCTTCTTCAGCTCTGACTGGATGGTGGGGAATGGAAGGATTGATATTCCTTGCAGACAAAGCTGGCCACTTGCATCCTTTTAGAGGGTCATTAAAGTGGGTCACCCACTTCATAAGCGCGTGGCACAACATAAGAAAACAAACCCATCAGGACAAGATTCAGCAGTCCAGCTGCATTTAAAAGACAAAGGCCCGTCTTTTGAAGATAGCCAAGTCCACCTTTTGGGCAGAGAGGACTGTTGGTTTGAAAGAGGGGTCAAAGAGGCCATCTATGTCCAAATTGAACATCCCTCTCTCAACAAAGGGGGAGGGATATGACATCATCTATCTCCAGTCTACAACACAGTCCTTTCAGCAGTTCCAAGAAGGCTCCACACCCATTTGTACTACTCAGGTGACCCTGAGGACACAGATAAACCTCCAAGTGGCCTCAATGATCCTCTAAAAGGATGCAAATGACCAGCTATCTGCAAGGAGTATAAATCCTTCCACTCCTCCCCCATACAGTCAGAACTGAAGAAGCTTCTTGGTGAGAAGAGGAATGTCTTTAGAGAAAAACCAGAAAATCCAGTTGCCCCTTGATAAAAGAAACTTTGGGACAATTATTTATCAAATGTCTTGGCCGCTCCCATCATACCGCAGGGTAACTCTGGGCAGCTTACAACATCAAAAATAAGACCACATAAATAGAATGCATTTAATCCTTGACTTATGACCACAGTTCAGCCCCAAATCTCTGTCACTAAGTGAGGCCATTGAGCTCTGCCCCATTTTATGACCTTTCCTGTCATGGTTGTTAAGTGAATCACTGCAGTTGTTAAATTAGTGACACGGTTGTAAAGTGAATCCGGCTTCCCCATTGACTTTGATTGTTAGGAGGTCACAAAAGAGGATCACGTGATCCTGGGACACCGCAACCGTCATAAATATGAGTCAGTTGCCAAGAATCTGAATTTTGATCATGTGACCACGGACGGTTATAAGTATGAAAAATGGTCGTCAATCCCTTTTTTCAATGTTCTCACAACCCTCGAATAGTCATTAAATGAGATGCTGTTAGGCCAAGGCTCTGTATTCACAGCTATTACAGCCATCTATGTAGATTCATAGCCACAATGGGGAAAAGGAATTTCCGACCTAATTTGTGATGGTCTTAAGTCGATGGTCCTACCTTTGTGGCAGTTGTTTAGTGAATCATGTAGTTATAAGTCTGAATCGCATGGATGAATGTGTGAACCCATTCTCCAGAACGGGTAATTTTTGCTGGAATCTGATGAAAGAGTGTGACAAATTGTGTTTGTGTGTGTCCGCAGGACACCACAATGAGGTCTAAGTGGTTTGGTTCTGCAACCCAACAAGACAGACACAGACTTCAGAGAGTAATTAGGACTGCAGAAAAAACAATGGCTACCAACCTGCCTTCCATCAAGGACCTGTATACTGCACGAGTCAAAAAGAGGGCTGTGAAAATATTTACAGACCCCTCACATCCTGGACATAAACTGTTTCAACTCCTTCCCTCAAAACAATGCTATAGAGCATTACACACCAGAACAACTAGACACAAGAACAGTTTCTTCCCGAACGCCATCACTCTGCTAAACAAGTAATTCCCTCAACACTGTCCAACTATTTACAAAGTCTGCACTACTATCACTATTAATCTTCTCATCACTCCTTATCACCCCTTCCCTCCCACTTGTGACTGTATGACTGTAACTTTGTTGCTTGTATCCCTTTGATCTATATTGACTGTTTCCTAGTATGATTTGATTGCTTATTGTACCTTATGACTATTATTAAGCATTGTACCGGATGATTCTTGACTCTTGACAAATGTATCTTTTCTTTTATGTTTACTGAGAGCATTTGCACCAAGACAAATTCCTTGGGTGTCCTATCACACTTGGCCAATAAAGAATTCTATTCTATTCTATTCTATTCTATTCTATTCTATTCTATTCTATT